TGTATTTTTCAAGGTGGTAGCAACAGTGGCCATATTGGATTTTGGATTGAGCAAAAAAAATTATAGTTTTATCAGGACTATCTCAGGATCATTTCAGGCAAGTTTCAGCTCAATACCAAGGATGGAACTTGAAAAGAAGTTTAAAATTGGTGCTGTTCAGGGAAACCGAGATTGTGCACTCCTGTTAGCAAATGGCTGCAATAGCTCCTGTATTGAACTTTTGATGAGACCATAAAAATTTCAACTTCAGCTTCTTGTTCTTAACATTCCAACCAACTTTATGCTCAATGGCACCAGCAGAATTGGAGAAGTTTAAAATGTGTTTTTCAAGATGACGGTCATGTTGGATTTTGAACTGACCCGAAAAATAACATATGGTTGGTACCATCTCAAGATCATTTAAGGAAGGTTCAGCTCAATCCCAATGGTGGAACTTGAGAACAAGTTTAAAATGTAAAAAGTTAACACATGGTGCACAGAAATGAACAAAACAGGATGGCTGTAATAAATGTGGACAGGCTGTGTAATTGGTTCTTCTCCTGAGGTGGCACACATCATATCTCATCAAGATCTCACTACACCAACACATACATCAAGTCGACCTCAAGTAAACACATATCAATTGTTCTGTGTAAGGGTGATGATGTCTACACCAAATAAATATCTGTTAAACTATATTTTATGGAGATGAATATATAAGGACAAAAGTACTAAAACGCTAAAAATATTCTGAAAATAGCTCAGACAGAAGAGCCAAACAACTTCTTTATGATGGTGAGACAAAAACTTCAAAACACCATCATAACCACCGATTTAGGCCGCACATAGCTTTGATTGACTAAAGACACAATTTCTCAGCTAAGCCTGCTGTGTTTATATCCATTACTCCTTGCAAGTACATCAAAACATCCTGTACATCATACTGTTACATCACATGGTAAATAATTCTACTTAATTCCCGGAGGGGACACAAAATTAGATAATAATAATAACTTCATCAATTTTTTTTATATACACTCCTTACTTTTTGTCAAGCTAAATCAGTCTGACATCCTCCAGTAATCCAATGTTAATAGAATGTGGGATATGGTGCCTTGTATGACATTATTTGATGTGGGATATGGTACCTTGTATGACATTATTTGATGTGGGATATGGTACCTTGTATGACATTACTTGATGTGGGATATGGTACCTTGTATGACATTACTTGATGTGGGATATGGTACCTTGTATGACATTACTTGATGTGGGATATGGTACCTTGTATGACATTACTTGATGTGGGATATGGTACCTTGTATGACATTACTTGATGTGGGATATGGTACCTTGTATGACATTACTTGATGTGGGATATGACACCTTGTAGGACATTACTTGATGTGGGATATAGTACCTTGTATGACATTACTTGATGTGGGATATGGTACCTTGTATGACATTACTTGATGTGGGATATGGTACCTTGTATGACATTACTTGATGTGGGATATGGTACCTTGTATGACATTACTTGATGTGGGATATGGTACCTTGTATGACATTACTTGATGTGGGATATGGTACCTTGTATGACATTACTTGATGTGGGATATGGTACCTTGTATGACATTACTTGATGTGGGATATAGTACCTTGTATGACATTACTTGATGTGGGATATGTAACCTTTTATGACATTACTTGATGTGGGCTATGTTACCTTGTATGACATTACTTGATGTGGGATATGGTACCTTGTTTGACATTACTTGATGTGTGATATGACACCTTGTATGACATTACTTGATGTGGGATATAGTACCTTGTGTGACATTACTTGATGTGGGATATGGTACCTTGTATGACATTACTTGATGTGGGATATGGTACCTTGTATGACATTACTTGATGTGGGATATGGTACCTTGTATGACATTACTTGATGTGGGATATGGTACCTTGTATGACATTACTTGATGTGGGATATGGTACCTTGTATGACATTACTTGATGTGGGATATGGTACCTTGTATGACATTACTTGATGTGGGATATGGTACCTTGTATGACATTACTTGATGTGGGATATGGTACCTTGTGTGACATTACTTGATGTGGGATATGGTACCTTGTATGACATTACTTGATGTGGGATATGGTACCTTGTATGACATTACTTGATGTGGGATATGGTACCTTGTATGACATTACTTGATGTGGGATATGGTACCTTGTATGACATTACTTGATGTGGGATATGGTACCTTGTATGACCTTGATGTGGGATATGGTACCTTGATGACATTACTTGATGTGGGATATATGGTACCTTGTATGACATTACTTGTATGACATTACTTGATGTGGGATATGACACCTTGTAGGACATTACTTGATGTGGGATATGGTACCTTGTATGACATTACTTGATGTGGGATATAGTACCTTGTATGACATTACTTGATGTGGGATATGGTACCTTGTGACATTACTTGATGTGGGATATGGTACCTTGTGACATTACTTGATGTGGGATATGGTACCTTGTATGACATTACTTTAATGTGGGATATGGTACCTTGTAAGACATTACTTGATGTGGGATATGGTACCTTGTGTGACATTACTTGATGTGGGATATGGTACCTTGTATGACATTACTTGATGTGGGATATGGTACCTTGTATGACATTACTTGATGTGGGATATGGTACCTTGTATGACATTACTTGATGTGGGATATGGTACCTTGTATGACATTACTTGATGTGGGATATGGTACCTTGTATGACATTACTTGATGTGGGATATGGTACCTTGTATGACATTACTTGATGTGGGATATGACACCTTGTATGACATTACTTGATGTGGGATATGGTACCTTGTATGACATTACTTGATGTGGGATATGGTACCTTGTATGACATTACTTGATGTGGGATATAGTACCTTGTATGACATTACTTGATGTGGGATATGGTACCTTGTATGACTTTATTTGATGTGGGATATGGTACCTTGTATGACATTAATTGATGTGGGATATGGTACCTTGTATGACATTACTTGATGTGGGATATGGTACCTTGTATGACATTACTTGATGTGGGATATGGTACCTTGTATGACATTACTTGATGTGGGATATGGTACCTTGTATGACATTAATTGATGTGGGATATGGTACCTTGTGACATTACTTGATGTGGGTTTTTGTATGACATTACTTGATGTGGGATATGTCACCTTGTATGACATTACTTGATGTGGGATATGGTACCTTGTATGACATTACTTGATGTGGGATATGGTACCTTGTATGACATTACTTGATGTGGGATATGGTACCTTGTATGACCTTGGGATATGACATTACTTGATGTGGGATATGGTACCTTGTATGACATTACTTGATGTGGGATATGGTACCTATGACATTACTTGATGTGGGATATGGTACCTTGTATGACATTACTTGATGTGGGATATGGTACATTACTTGTATGACATTACTTGATGTGGGATATGGTACCTTGTATGACATTACTTGATGTGGGATATGGTACCTTGTGACATTACTTGATGTGGGATATGGTACCTTGTGTGACATTACTTGATGTGGGATATGGTACCTTGTATGATATTACTTTGATGTGGGATATGACACCTTGTATGACATTAGTTGATGTGGGATATGGTACCTTGTAAGACATTACTTGATGTGTGATATGGTACCTTGTAAGACATTACTTTGATGTGGGATATGACACCTTGTATGACATTACTTGATGTGGGATATGGTACCTTGTATGACATTACTTGATGTGGGATATGGTACCTTGTATGACATTACTTGATGTGGGATATGGTACCTTGTGTGACATTACTTGATGTGGGATATGGTAGCTTTGTACCTTGTGTGTGTGACTTGATGTGGGATATTACCTTGTGTGACATTGATGTGGGATATGGTACCTTGATGTGGGATATGTTGACATTACTTCTTGTGTGACATTACTTGATGTGGGATATGGTACCTTGTGTGACATTACTTGATGTGGGATATGGTACCTTGTGTGACATTACTTGATGTGGGATATGGTAGCTTTTATGACATTACTTGATGTGGGATATGGTACCTTGTGTGCCATTACTTGATGTTGGATATGGTACCTTGTGACATTACTTGATGTGGGATATGGTAGCTTGTAAGACATTACTTGATGTGGGATATGGTACCTTGTGACATTACTTGATGTGGGATATGGTAGCTTTTATGACATTACTTGATGTGGGATATGGTACCTTGTGTGACATTACTTGATGTGGGATATGGTACCTTGTGTGACATTACTTGATGTGGGATATGGTACCTTGTGACATTACTTGATGTGGGATATGGTACCTTGTATGATATTACTTGATGTGGGATATGACACCTTGTATGACATTACTTGATGTGGGATATGGTACCTTGTATGACATTACTTGATGTGGGATATGGTACCTTGTATGACATTACTTGATGTGGGATATGACACCTTGTAGGACATTACTTGATATGGGATATGGTACCTTGTATGACATTATATTAGTACCTTGTATGACATTATGATTGGATTTGGTACCTTGTGCAACATTACATTTTGATAATGGATTTGACACCTATTGTGTGAATTTGGATTTGGTACCTTGTGCAACATTACTTTGATAATGGATTTGACACTTTGTGTGACATTCTCTTCAATCTATTCCCTTTATAACAAATGATAATAATTAACACTATTGTAATAGAACTGTTTTAAAGAAGGGTTTGTAAATTGCTAGATAAATATATGATAATTGTATGTTATGAATGGTTTAGACTTTGTATTGTTGGCATGGTATGGTACCAATATCTTACCTACATAAGACAGCCATACCAAAGTACCAGAGTCACACCTAACCCTCCCCCTTCCAACAATCCCCTCCTCCCCCCTCTCTGCTCCCAATACACACATGGCTATACTTACCTTTGGCATTCCTGTAGAGGAGAAATGGGTCCTGCTGCTGAAACTCTAGATCCTTGCTGATTGGTTCAATGAGATTCTTGAGGCCCAGGCGGTTCAGGATCATGAAGCCATGAATCGGGGCAGCTGACCTACAATATAGCAATGTAGAGGGAACATCATATTAAATATTCATTAATTCAATTTATGTAGAAATAGACGATCTGATCTCAATAAGACCTAAAAATGTAATGATGCAGTACTCCTAAGTACTGATCACCTCTACGACAGACAATTTTACACGAATGCCTGATTCTCACTTATCTCATATCTTCTAATGTTGAAAAATTACAAGACAAACAGGAATCTGGAAACATTATCAATACAATTCTTTGAAACCTGCATTGAGGTTTTAAATATTTAAAAATATGTCTGTCAAATGCACGCAACTGAAAGACTTCTATATCCAGCATCACTTATATCACCCACACAACACTTCCACAATTCAGTTTTTGTGATATCTTATGATTCTCAGTGACAATACATGAGTTTTAAAAAATTTCGTACTATCATTATATTCTCTTATAAGAAAATCCATTATTAAGTTCACGTTCATGAAAATTCAATTACTTTATATTCAATACAATTATTCTATATATACAATATATATATATAAATGAATGATTACACAATTTAATAGATCTCTAGCACTTTTTGTATTATCATTCATAAAGAATGAATTTATGAATGAGGGATCAATATATAATTACTTGTATAACTGTGAGCTAGGCGATTACCAGGTCCATACATAAAAGGAAAAATTACAAACAAGCCAACAGATGTACAACGGATAATCTGATACTTCTTACTTACAAAAAATATCTTATACTAAAACATGATCTAAACGAAGGTCGATTTTTTCTTCATTGTACACTTCCATCAAGACACCTTGTTTTTACGATAGATTTACCTTGTAGTAAGTCAGGTACAGTAGTTGGAATGAATCCAATGTAGCCATATTCATGGGCTACCCAGCGGATTCCTATCATTACAGCTGTTTCACAATTTTATATTTTCTGCATTGTGTAAAACTAACATAACCTAGCACACACAGATACAGGTTCAAACGTGCGGCAACTCCTAATATCTTTCCCAGCAATCAGCATTGAAACTTTTTCTAATTGATTGTCTTAATTGTCTTTAAACCATCAGTAGAGGTAATTTTTAATGCATATACTTAATATCATTTTCTGAATCAATCAATATCCCAACTTCATTTAAACTGCATCTCACATTAAAAGGTTGAATTTTATTGTCAGACCTATTTTGAACTGAGCCCCCTTCCTCACATAAAAACTATCAAACGTCATATCAGACAATACATATGGTAGTGATTTATAACATGGAGAAAACGGCTCTTTTTTAAGTGCTGATCAGCAGACCATTCTGTTTTATGCGAACTTTCTGGAGAGGAAGATGTCCTGAATGCGAGAAGTCTGACACAAGAAACAAGATTGTGACCTCATTAGATATCCCAATATTTTCCATGTTTTTGGAATTGTTTTCTCTCCTCTGTGGTAATATTTGAGCTACTATTGATAAAATAAGGGCCAATATTAAATTCACATCTGTCACTGAGTATACCAATATATACAAAGGGTAAGGTATAAAAATGCTCAGAAAATCAAGTTATGAATGATCACAAATCAAAAGCTTAAATAACCTATATCAATATCTAACTATCAGACCTATAAAGGAAGAAATGATATCAGCGTTTTATTAAAATACAAATGACAAAAAAAGGGTAAAAACTCATAACATTGTCCAAAACTGGAGAATGTAAAAGACCCAATAAACAAAAGACCAGTAAAAGACAATTTCGGAAGAAAGTGCTGCAGGGTTGTTCTTTTTTTTTTTCAAAATCACAGACAAAAAAAAAAAAAAAAAAATCAAGGGGTGTGTGGAAACCAAACTTGAAATTCTGTGTTTGATATACATGTACTTTAAAGAATAGATGTATTTTGTTTTTTCTCTCAACCACAAAGATCATGTAAAAAATTTAAACTGTGTAACATACCACTAAGTACAGGAAAATCTGGACTGCATCACAAAACACAAGAAATATTTGCAATGTTCCACAAGGTACAGAAGCATTATGAACTGTACCACAAAGTACAGAAGCATTATGAAGTGTACCACAATGCACAAAAGCATTATGAATTGTACCACAAAGTACAGAAGCATTATGGTCTGTACCACAAAGTACAGAAGCATTATGGTCTGTACCACAAAGTACAGAAGTATTATGGTCTGTACCACAAAGTACAGAAGTATTATGGTCTGTACCACAAAATACAGAAGCATTATGGTCTGTACCACAAAGTACAGAAGTATTATGGTCTGTACCACAAAGTACAGAAGTATTATAATCTGTACCACAAAGTACAGGAGCATTATGAACTGTACCACAAAGTACAGAAGTATTATGGTCTGAACCACAAAGTACAGAAGTATTATGGTCTGAACCACAAAGTACAGAAGTATTATGGTCTATACCACAAAGTACAGAAGTATTATGGTCTGTACCACAAAATACAGAAGCATTATGGTCTGTACCACAAAGTACAGAAGTATTATGGTCTGTACCACAAAGTACAGAAGTATTATAGTCTGTACCACAAAGTACAGGAGCATTATGAACTGTACCACAAAGTACAGAAGTATTATGGTCTGAACCACAAAGTACAGAAGTATTATGGTCTGTACCACAAAGTACAGAAGTATTATGGTCTGTACCACAAAGTACAGGAGCATTATGGTCTGTACCACAAAGTACAGAAGCATTATGGTCTGTACCACAAAGTACAGAAGCATTATGAACTGTACCACAAAGTACAGAAGTATTATGGTCTGAACCACAAAGTACAGAAGTATTATGGTCTGTACCACAAAGTACAGAAGTATTATGGTCTGTACCACAAAGTACAGGAGCATTATGGTCTGTACCACAAAGTACAGAAGCATTATGGTCTGTACCACTAAGTACAGAAGCATTATGAACTGTACCACAAAGTACAGAAGTATTATGGTCTGTACCACAAAATACAGAAGTATTATGGTCTGTACCACAAAGTACAGAAGTATTATGGTCTGTACCACGAGGTAAAAAAGCATCATGAACTGCTCTACAAAGTGCAGACAGGGTTGGAATGTACAATAAAGTATATGAAGAAACCTTTTTGGGTTTATCACGACATGAACAGCCAAAACATCTTGACTGAACAACAAAGTATAGGATGAAAACAAACATCAAATACAAGGATTTGTATGAATGTTCAACAAAGTACTGAAACACTTGGACTGTACCATAAAGCATAGGAACATATGGACTGTACCATAAAGCACAGGACACGTGTAGTTTACCACGCAGTGTACCACACTGTGTACAAATGTGAATCTACCATTAGAACTGCAGTGTCCTGGGTGAGAAGAGAAATGTAGGAGGAATTTGTCCTACATAACTGAGCTGGTGATCAACTCCACACTCTTGGTAGACAACCACCTCTCCACATTGTGCCTAATTGAAGCAAGTGACGTCCTTACACATAATGACAAGTATTATCTTGGTAACTGTCAGCGTAACACATGTGTTGTACACAGACACTCCCATCATAGGCAATAAACACCCAGGTTTCCCTGATGTCCCATCTTAGCGTCAATACTCATGTTTTTCCCTGGGCACCTCCACCAATTTTATAGAAAAAGTACAGATGATCTCCAGTAATCTCAATCCACAGATTATCTACGGTAATCTGCCATCCACAGATAATCTCCCATAATCCCCATCTATAAATTATCTCTAGTTATCTGCCATCTAAAGATTATCTCTGATGATCTCCATCCACAGATTATCTCTGGCAAGCCCCCAATTTACATATTATCTCTGGCAAGCCCCCATTTACAGATTATCTCTGGTAAGCCCCCAATTTACATATTATCTCTGGCAAGCCCCCATTTACAGATTATCTCTGGCAAGCCCCCAATTTACATATTATCTCTGGCAAGCCCCCATTTACAGATTATCTCTGGTAAGCCCCCAATTTACATATTATCTCTAGCAAGCCCCCATTTACAGATTATCTCCTGTGATCTCAATTCACAGATTATCTCTGGTAATCAACCATTCACATATTATCTGCCCAGGTGATAAACCATAACATCTGATTGAAAGAAGGGCATGGGCTTATCACAGGACAGTGATATACCTTGATGAGTATTTTATTGGACAGCAGTACATATGGGTGGGTTTATAAACCAGACATGTGTTTATGATTTATCTGTTCCCCTTTAAGGCCCCCTACCACAAAATAGTACTTTTATAATGTTTCCTCTGAAGCTCCTTTACATAGAATAAGTGCATCTGATGTATCCATCCTTTGGTGCCTCCCCTCTCTTCACATACTAAGTACTGAGTACGAAGTACTCCAGTACCCCTTTCCCAGTACATACACATGCCCTCTAGTTCCCCCTTCACAGTACATACACATGCCCTCTAGTTCCCCCTTCACAGTACATACCAATGCCCTCTAGTTCCCCCTTCACAGTACATACCAATCCCCTCCAGTGCCCCTTCACAGTACATACCTATCCCTTCCAGTGCCCCCTTCACAGTACATACCCATGCCCTCCATTGCCCCCCTTCACAGTACATACCAACGCACACCAATGCCTCTCTGCAATACATACCAATTCCCTTCACTGTATGTACCAATTCCCTCCAGTGCCCCTTTCACAGTATGTACCAATTCCCTCCAGTGCCCCTTTCACAGTATGTACCAATTCCCTCCAGTGCCCCTTTCACAGTATGTACCAATCCTCTCCAGTGCCCCTTTCACAGTATGTACCAATCCCCTCCAGTGGCCCTTTCACAGTATGTACCAGTCCCCTCCAGTGCCACCTTTCACAGTATGTACCAATCCCCTCCAGGGCCCCCTTCACAGTATGAACCAATTCCCTCCAGGGCCCCCTTCACAGTATGTACCAATCCCCTCCAGTGCCCCCTTCACAGTATGTACCGATCCCCTCCAGTGCCACCTTCACAGTATGCACTTATCCCCTCCAGGGCCCCCTTCACAGTATGTACCGATCCCCT